ATTTCCTCAGTCCCACCAATGAAGCCAGAGAAAGCTTCACGATGACAAGTGTACAGTTTAAATAGAAGTGTGTTTCTCTCATACGTTACGCTGCATGCTGCAACAGAATGACACAGACTGTTGTCCATATTGAGTGGTATTCATATTTGTGTTATGCAATTAAGCACATTTCCTTTGAAGGAACTGCATCTCCCTTGCACAGAACACAATTAAAGACCATTTAAAAAGTGTGTCTCTGTTCCTGCCTGCAGTTAGTTATGCCAGACCTGTCATCATCCTCGGGCCGATGAAGGACAGAATCAACGATGATCTAATATCAGAGTTTCCAGAGAAGTTTGGCTCTTGTGTACCACGTAAGTTACACGGGAATTTATTTTGAATGGACAACAGTGAACCAAAAATGCTCTGAAATCACAGGTACTATTTTAGTGCATTGTACTTGTGACACTGACACTAGCAGTGTGTAGAAATGGTGAAAAGACTGTGTTTATTGATGTGCTGACTTCATCAGCTGTGTTCGTGATCATATCCATTTTAGTCAGTGGTATAATTCATTCCCTCATCCCACCAGTGTTTCCTCATATGTCTCTTACGGTGTCATCATATCACAACTAATTATAGTTTTGTTTTTTTCCTCTGTTATGAAATTAACTGTTTTTCATATAATCCAAGAAGACAGAAGCTCACTGAATGAAAGCTACTGTTAGCCGTGGTTTTACCTTCAGTCCGCCATCATCCAAACAGTGAAGCGGACACAAACTATACATGTGTTTAAACACAGGCATTTAGTTTCACAACTGCACACTGGAAACATTATGCCACACTGATGTGCACTGACGATTGCTGCTAATGTTGTAGTTCCTGATGTGGGTGTGCTCAGCTTTCACTACTGCAGCAGCACCTGTGACAGTCAGACCTCTTCCTAATTATCAGGAGACACTGGAGGCAATTGCCACTATGATATTTTACCGTCTGATGTTATGTTTACTTTTATTGTGAAATACATGTGTTCTAGGTTGCTGGGGTATTGCAGGGAAATTATACAGAGACTGACATGTTCAAGTCAACATCACTTTTCAAACTCTAACTCTTATTGACCCAAACTTGAGCCCATAAAGCAGCTTTGCACACACTGCTGTGAAACTGGAGGCTCTCATCTTTTACTTTTAAGTAATTATTAAACATTAGCTAACATTATTAGTTTCATTTTGTATCTAATGGAACCAACAGGCATCTAAGGAGCAGATCGGGACACAGAGTGGGACACAGGAGAGGGACACAGGAGAGGGACACAGAGAGTGACACAGAGAGGGACACAGAGTGGGACACAGGAGAGGGACACAGAGTGGGACACAGAGAGTGACACAGAGAGGGACACAGAGAGGGACACAGAGTGGGACACAAGAGAGGGACAGAGTGGGACACAGGGAGCAAACTTCTGGTGTGCAAATGTTTTGTTAGACAAACCTGCTCATTTAACTTGATGTAACACTGCCATGCTAGAAGGGAGGGACCATCAAGTGACTGATTTTGTGGTTGGTGTATTTGTGTGTGTGTGTGTGTGTGTGCTAAGCCTGCATCTACATGTTACTCCACTTTGACCCTACCAAACAGCATCCCCTCACTCTTTGCATTGTGTAACAAATTACTGAATCATCCAAAAACGTTTTTATTTTGCATGTTATGATTTACCCATTTCTTTTATTTCAATTTGCCTTTTGAACCGTATAAAGCTGCTATCAGTTCAGGGTACCAAGGTGAGTGGATAACCTGAGTAGATTCTTTCATCCTTTCATTTAGAAAATCAGTAATTTCTCCCCATAAATACTTATAAATCCTCACCCTGCCCTGTTTAGAAACACTAGTGATTTTGTAGCACAGTGGAGAATCCACCCCACTTAACCTCCCTGTATTTTCAAAGGTGCTTCCATATGTTAAAAAACAACGTTTAATGTCACCCCTGCCCTTTAAAAACATGTAACATGTGACTTGATATCTTGACGAGTAAACATCACTTTATGTATTCAGGATTTCTGCTATAAAAAATGACCAGGCTGTGGTTGCCACTCATTCAGGATCATTACGATTCGTTTTTATAGCACAGAACAGGAGGGCACTGTCCTAACTACATGTATAACATCCTGTTATATCATGTTACTGATGAAAGTTGCAGGTTTTGTTGAAACATTTGGTGTCAAGTTCAAGAAACATTCATGTGACAAATCATTTCTGCCATTGTTGTATTTGTTTGTGATAATTACAAAATGTAATCA